GATTGTCATGTTGGAGACTCAGGAACCTTCAGGCAAGTTAATCAGCCCCAAGTCTTAGTGTTTTCATGGAGAAAATAAGGCTTTCACAGAGCTGGTATAGGGGGAAGCCCCAGGCAAAATCTTTACTCCCAGATCGGGAGAGTTAGCAGGCTCTTGTGCTGTTAGGAGCGCACTTAGGTGAGCTGTGATCGTGGCTGTGTGGATCTGGAGAGTTCACAGAGTAGCCTCTGTGATACCTGTGGGGTTCTTAGGTTGAGAATGGCACGAGTCTTAACTCCTGGCCTTAAATGGCCACTGAAAGGAGAATGTGGGCAGAAGGTGGCCTATTAACCTCCTGGCTGAGCTTTAGAATTATGGCTGCCGTAGATAACGGTAGAGCAATGAGCACACAGTGGAGACCTTCAGGGCTTCTTCCCTCAAAGAACTGGGGTGAGGTTGATGCTCCCCACCCCTGAGGGAACATGGCTATTCAGACACCTTGGATCAGACACAGCAATAAGTTGTGGGCTGTGATTCCTGGTCTATAGGGCTTGTTACCAAACCTTGGATTATGTATGCTTCCTTCTATGGCCCCTAGGGAGCAGGCTTCAGGGAGAAGAGCAGAAATTGGAGAGAGGGGGGACAAATTCAAATCAAGTCCCCTCAGTGAGGTTTGGCACTTGCCGTGATAAAAATAGATTTTAGGCATTTCTGGAGTATGGGGTCTTCACAGGCTCCAAGCCTGGGTATCAGCTGGCAGGAGGGGTTGCCAGCTATATTTCATCTGAGGATGGTTCAGGTAACAGAATAACAGTAGGAACTGTGATTTCAGCACACTGGGTCTGTCATCGTCCTGCTCAGCTTCCAACGAGGTTCTGTTTATTTCTCTTCTTAAATATTTACAGTGTTACTCCCAAAGCACCGCATCAGAATTGGTAACACTGCTAACCACGGTCGGAATGTTGGCTTCTTAAGGGTCTGCCATCTGCCACTCTGGTCTGATGTTTTACCAACTCTACTTCTGATCCTCATAGCATCCCAGCGAGACTCAACCCCTCCACTTTTCACAGATGAAGAGACCAGAGCACAGAAAGCATATTGAACTGGCTGGGCACTCTGGCTGGTGAGCCACAAAAATCAGAGTGGGAGATAGTGACTTTCCCCTCTCAGGGGCCTCACGTGGCTTTCAAGCTCTCTTGAGTCACCTTTATTTTCACACCATCAGTCACGGAGAGGAGAGAACAGTATCAGTCCTTCTCATGGAGCCCATAATGGCTTCAGCCTGTGGTTCTTCAGTCTGCTGTTAAGAAGGCCAGAAGAAAGCTGCATCCAAGGGCCCTGAAAAGGCCCCTCTGTGCCCCCTGAGATCTATTTAGAACTTGGCTGTTGTCAGGTTCTCCCGATAGTCTCCCAGTCCCCCCCGGATCACTCCTCCATCCATTTCTCAGCTCTCTTCGCTTCCATTTTACTCTGTGGTGTCCACGATTAATCCTTCCCGTGTGTTCTTATGCCCATTGATAAGCAGATCTTCTTTTGTGTCGGGGAAAGAACCGACTTAGAGTCTGGAGCCGTTTGCCTCTATCCTTATCTTACTCATCGTCCAGTCTCCAGATCTCATCTGACCTCCTTGGAGAGTTCCCTGATAATCTGTCTTGTCATCTTAAGCAGGCTAGCACTTTTCACCAATGTTTTTAGCAGTTTTTTGTCTGACGGACTGCAGTGTGTGTGTGTGTGTGTGTGTGTGTGTGTGTATGTATGTGTGTGTTTTGAGGATTTGGAACCAAGGATTGTGCCTACTGTCATTGCTCTGCACCTCACATAATAGTGTCCCAGTGACTATTTTATAGTGCCACATGCCTTTAATTCTAGTACCTGGGAGACAGAGATGGCCTGTACATTTAAGGGAACCCTGGTCTATATAGCCAGTTCTGGGCCGGCCAGGAATATATAGTGAGGGGATGCTGGGAGACACACACACACACACACACACACACACACACACACACACACACACTAGCTCTTGCTTTTCAAATTTCATGTATTTGAATTTTGAATTCGTATGAAATTTGAATATATATATTGCCCAATTCTGCATCCAACTCTACCCTCTTATCCTGTCAATTTTATACACCTGGTTCTCCTAGACTAAGCTTGGGACAGCAAAGTCATCTGACCAGATTCGCATATGGTCTGCTCCTCTGCTCTGGGTCTCCTGGGGATGGCACCATCCTGGGTGACTGTTGAAGATAATTTAGGTCACTCGAGTCCCTGGTGATGGCTTTGTGATGTGCCTTTGAGGTGTGCTATTGGCTGAGCAGCGAAAATGAAACTTTGTTTTTCAATTAGAGAAAATTAGACTCCTCCATTTTGCTATGGTTGTCTTTTTAAAATTTTTTTAATTTTTAAATTTTTTTTAAATTTTTTATTTCCTTTAACCAAGAATGCCCAAGGACCTCGTGCATTCCTGATGGGAGGTCCTCACACTGTGGCTCTGCCTAGGGAGGACTTGATGGCTCTGTTGCTCTTCCAACTGCTATAGGAGACATGGCCAGTTAGCATGGTGGACAAGGCTAAGAAGAGAAGTTTGTTTGTCTCTCTCACTTCTACCTGTTACGTTCTGAAGAACAGTGAAGCTGAGAGCTTTTCAAATAAGCCAGAGGAGGGGACCAGATGGTAGCTTTCCTTCTTGAGAATTCCAGTTTTTGAGTCACAAATGGGATCTCATCCTTGTCTAGAGCGACCTGCACAGAAAGAGTTCTCCTCTCAGGCCAGACTGGCGCTTGTCCAGCAATGGTCGCCCACTAACACTTAGTGCATTCAGGTATTTCACTCACGCCTCAGCCCCACAAGGGTCTTCATTGCACACAGACTTGCTCAAATCAATATTCTTACATAAGATGATGGGAAAAGCCATATTTTCTCTTCTTTTGAGACTTTTCTTTTGGTAGTCTACACATTTTATGTTCTGCCTTTAAAGCTATTTCTGCTGCACAGCTGCTTTCCTGAGACACAGACTCCCACGCGCTCTGCTCAGTCCAGCGTACACCTGAATATCCTTTCACAGGGCTTGATTCCCGCAGTTGGCCGTATGATGAGGAAGGAGTATGCAGGGAGCTCAGAGATTCTTATTAAGCAGGTCACCCATGAATCTATCTTCATGCGCTTCTTTATTAAAAATAGCAGAGAGCACGATGATCCTTAACCGCAGCCACTTACAGGAACTTGCCTTTAAAGACGTACGTTCTCACTTACCATTAGACAGTTCTCGTGTTCTGTTGCGTATTTTCCCCGTTCTCAAAAGTTATCTCCACCATTTTCATTCTAGGATGAGAATAAAGACTACAACCGAGGCTATGCTGTTGGTAGGGTCTGCTTTTTCCTGTTAGACCATTCCTGGGGCCTCCTTGTTTCCCTGGTAATGCTTTTGAAGATGCATCAGGCTGACATCAGACACAAGGTTATGGGCAGGGGCAGGACTCAGAAAGAGACACAAAGGATTTTTCTTCAGAAATCCAAGTGTGGGTATCTGGTGAAAAAAGGAAGATTCTCTGTTGGGCCTAAGATAGAATTAATGCATGAAAGCTACAGCAGGGTAGATTTGTATTCAACCCAGACATGAAGATTGCACCCTTCCTGAGACAGATTGCATTGTATGTAGTGTGGAGTAAACCTTAGCCTATGGCAAAAGGTGGGCTTCAAGCTAAATAACTATTTGCTAGGGACAAATGCTTCCAGAAATTACAGACCCACATCAGTTCTAAGTAAGATTCAGTGGTCTACGAGATCTGCAGTAATTATTGCTTGTCCCAGGTATTTGAAAATATGATTAAAGTTTTATATTTAGCGCTTTTAAGATATTGCCTTCTTTGACCCACTGCAATTTTCAACAAGTAAAAATCTACTATTACCTCCATATTTGTGAGATAAACCGAAACATAGGCAGTTGAGTGGTTCATACACACCACACAGCGACAGCAGCCGTCCTGTGAAAAAGGGAACCAGTTAGGTCATGCCACCGAACAGCAATGCAGTTTTGGACAATCCAGAAGGTAAGAGGAGGGCATTAGAGTAGGATGGACCCATCTTGCACACAGTGGGTCCACAGGTAGAGACCCTCTTGCCTGTCTCTGATGCAGTCTGGTATAGGCTTTATTTGTTGCCTCTTCATACTTCTGCAGGCATGAGGACTTAGGCCACATTCTCATGGCAGGCAGGAAGTAGAGGATACATTTATTTATCATTTATTCAGTTGTGGTGTGAGGCGGTTAAGATGGTTTAGTGGACTTTGAAATCCCTGTATATAGAAGGTGGCATGTGTTGACAAGATCTCCTTGTGTTTCAAGATGTGAGGTTAGAAGGAAGGTTGCATCCTGATTGTTTTAAAGTGCAGCCACTCAATTCAAACCACATTTTATGGTGCATAGAAAACTCCCGTGATAATTTGCCCCTTGATTCAAAAAGTAAGTTCATTATAGAAACATTTCAAAACAAAGTTATTACAAAACAGTGACCTATTGTTTCTGAACGCGCACTCCACACATTTAAAAACAAGTTCTATGCTGTGTACATGTCTGTACACTTCTGAATTTGGATTTGTAACCCACATCTTATCTCTAGGGTGAGGATGTATCAGAGTGCTTCTGACCTGTTTGCTCTTTCTGTATGAATTGGGTACTTTGCAATGCTTTGTTAATCTATATCACACGTGTTAGTTATTCTGTAACAGAAAAAAAAAAAAAAACAGTAGCTACAAATCTGGTTTGTTTAAGCCGGAACATTAAAGATGTATTCTATCTTTTATGGTTCTAACACCTCTATTGGGTTTTCATAGGCAAATGACCAACTCCTCATTATCGAGGTTAGTTGGTATGGTAACACTGGGGTTTGGATGTTCTACCTCGTGAAAAAGCACACTAGCTACTGAGACTCTGTCTTTTCACGTGTTTAGTGTTCTGCGTTATCATCATCAGAGTAACAGACTCCCTTTCTTCTTTTTTTTCTGTTGACTTTTCTTTAGCCTGATGAAGTCCTCCGATATCGATCAGGATTTATTTACAGACAGTTACTGCAAGGTGTGCAGTGCACAGCTGATCTCCGAGTCCCAGCGGGTGGCCCATTATGAGGTAAGGAGAGCCTTGCTCATCCAACGGCGATCCTGCTATGGGACTTGAGGATGCTTGCTCATGAGGAATGGGGAATTTTCAGAACTGTACATTGTAAGCCTGTATCATGTGAGTCAGGTCATGACTGTGTTTACTGGAAATAGGGAGGAAAGGTTGGGGACATTATTCTGAGCTTTGGCTACTTCCAAGACTATTTATTTATTTATATTAATATTTTTAATGTGTTCTTCCTACTATAGGAACCCTGTGTGCTTCCTTCCCTTGCTCTCTCTGTGAGGGATACATGTCAGTCAGGCACGCCAGTGAAGCCAGGCTCAAATCAAATGGGGGCGGGGAGGGAGGGAAACTTTGTTCTCAGCAGGACTAAAGGTACTTCCTCTTCAGATATCCTTCCCAGTGGTCAGTGCCCTAAATGTCCATCAGAATGTAGGAGTCTCCTGCAATCCCAAGTAAGTTTTAAACCCTAAATACTCCAGAAGGGCATCGTGATCTTTTGCATGGGAGGACTTTGATCCTGTATCAACAGCGGAGGATGTCCCAGGGAGGAATGAGGAGCCAGGAGGGAAGGACAGAGAACTGGGATCCCAAAACCCTGAGTATTGTGTATTTTGGTTTCTAAGGAACACAGAGCTGTGGGAATAGAGGTTTTCAGGTGTAGTGAGTTATAAGGAATGTTGGGTTACAAGACTTAGCCAGCAATGATTTTCATTCGATAAGTCTAATAAGTGCCAGTTGTCACTGTCCCTCCCTGAACACCTCTGGGCCCCAGGTTCGTCTGTGCACCCCAGAAATAATAATAATGACAACACACTCATGATCCTGCCTTCCCCACGGGGGTTTTGTGATAACTGAATGCAACCGTTAATAGTGCTTGTGGACATGCTTTGGAAGCTGAGTGTGTCAGGCATGCGGAATTCTTTTATCGCCGTGAACTCTCTCGCTGCAGCGCTTTGATGATAGTGAGCAGGCATGCTCTTTGAACATCTGTGAAATCGACATCTGTGGAAAAAGTCAGGAGGGTTGCCCACTCCTGCCGTTCCACGGGGGATTGGTTCCTGAAACCCCAGGGGTTACTCAGGTCCTTGGTGGCAAACGGTGTGATATTTACAGAGAACCTATGCATGTCCTCCTGTATCTTTTCAACAATCTCTTACACCTACCTCACTCCTAACACCTACCTCACCTCATTTGCATAGTATCTGCTTGTGGCAAATTTAAATTTTGCTTTTTTGTAACTTTCTGGACCCTCCCTCCACTTTACCCTGTTCCCCCGCCCCGCCCCCACACTTTTGATTTTAATTTGTGTGGAAATTACAGACCTGGAGGCTGACACATTATTCTTTTGTCAAGAGGAAAGTGAGTACTGGAAGTGGAAAAAAGTGAATTTGTTTATCGGGAATAAATTCACTGTTTTGGGAGTAGCAAACTCTCTAATCTCTGTGGATGCTTACTGTTCAGAAGCACGTAAGCACGGTCACTATGAAATGCCATGGAAGATCAGGGACGTTTTCCCTGCTCTGAAATTACACACCCTTTGTATTAAGCCTTTTTTTGTTTTAATTTTTAACCATTGTTCATAATGTTTGAGGATAGAAGTTGTTTCCCTTTTTTGATCATCCCTAGTTCCTGAACAATATCTACACACACACACACACACACACACATACATATATAATTTAAATTATACATATATAATTTAATTTTTGTCATTCTTAGCATTTGTGAGGTGGATGGGTCTCTTTCCTAAGCAGGCTGGAGATGCTGCTTTGTACTGTTCTGTTGGTGGAACCAGAGAGCTAATGCCAGAGTATTTAAGACAACAAAGCCTTAAAATAAACTAACAAGAAAACATCAAAGCATCTTAGCAGCTTGACTAAAGGTATAGTTTAGTTATTTTGATCTCGGGTTCTCTTATTGATGTACTGGACTCGTGCTGCGGTGTAATCTAATTGTTTACGGTACGTGTTAATTGAATGTAGCACACACGAGATAGGAAAAATAAAGCAGTCAATAGATCCCCGTCAGCAGTGTCACACTTGGCCCAGCAACGTTAAATGCATTCCCACTGAATGTGGGTGGACACCGAGCGATGCCTTTTGCTTGTCTGCCTCTTGCCTTCCTTCTGTCAGATATAGTCTAAGTATTCTGGCTGTAGAGAGGCCAAAGTGGAGAAATGGCAGAGACAGGGCCTAGGATCCTTCCATTTCTTGTCTTTCTTGTCCCTTTGTTTGGGACACCTACACAGTAATGCACCCCAAACCACTGAGTACTATTTGAAAACTGGTATTCTGTTGGTCTGCCTTCAGCTCCATAGACAACCTCTGCTGAAATGAACTGTTGAATATGTTTCTCAATGAGATAGAAATCTCACTCAACTCATTGAGATTGCTGTGGCTGTAATGCTCGGTGCTCCCTTCAGTGTGGTTCACTTCTTCAGGCTGGTAATAGCCCTGCTTTCCTATGGGAGCAGCGAACATCACTGTGTATTTCTATGTGACTGGTAGCACTAGTGTTAGATACTGGAGAGACTCAGAACCAGTGTTAGAAATGGCCTTTGTGTAGTTCAGTGCATTTAGATAGTTAATTACAATTATTTACTAGTGTGTGTTTGAATAATGTCTGCATTCCAGAAATAAACGACTTGGGTCACGGTGGATAATCTTGTTTTTATTTATGTCTGTATTGCTTTTGTAAGTATTCTTTTTCCAGCACTTTTGAGTTGTGTTCATCAGGGGTATTGGCTTGTGATTTTTCATTTTCATTGTGCTTTTGCCTGGTTTGGGTATTAGAGTTACACGGAATTCTTAGGAGTTTGAGAATACTCCCTTCCTTCCTTCCTTCCTTCCTTCCTTCCTTCCTTCCTTCCTTCCTTTCTTTCTTTCTTTCTTTCTTTCTTTCTTTCTTTTCCTTTCTCCCTCTCTGCCTCTCTCTCCTTCCCATCTTTCTTTCTTTTTGAATAGTTTAAGAAGGTTTGGTTGTAGATATTTGAAAGTCTGGTAGAATTTTGCTGTGAATCTATCTTGGACTTTTTTTTTTTTACTGGAAAGGTTTTTATTACTATTTAATCTCCTCATTTATTATGGATCTGTTTAGGTCGATGACTTCTTGATTTAATTTTGGTGGTTTGGCTGAATATTGAAATTTATTCACTCCTTTTAGGTTTTCCAGCTTAATAGAATACATTTTAAATGTATTCCTCTTTCTTTCAGTTAGTTACGCTATGTGTCTGTCAGTCATGTTTAACTTCTCAAAGAACCAATTCTTAGATTTAGTGATTCTTTGTATTGTTTGTTTCTATTTTATTAATTTCTGCTCTGGGTTTTATTATCCATTGCTATTAACTGGGTTTGGCTTGGTTTGTCCTTTCTTTCTCCAAATCTTTGAGTCGTTTATTTGTATTCTTTCTGAGTTTTGAATGTAGGCACACAGAGCTATAAGCTTACTCATTTGTAAGGCTGTTTTCAGTGTGACCCAGGCTAGATTTGACGGGTTGGGGAAGGTGAATAGACAGCAGAATCAGCAGACTCACGGGGCTAGACACAGGAGGAAGATGCTCTTCTGGCTAGTTTATTGTCAACTAGACACACACTAGCGTCATCCAGGAGGACAAAACTTTGAGCAAGAAAATACTACACTATTAGGCTGTAGGCAAGCCCACAGAGCATTGCCCTAATCAGTGATTAATGGAGGTGGGCCCAGCCCTTTTGTGGGCGGGTCTACCTCTGGGAAGGTGCTCCTGGCTTCTGAAAAAAAAAAAAAAAAAAGCAGGCTGAACAAACCAGGGGGAGCAAGCCAGTGAACAGCATCCTGCCATGTCCTCTGTGTCAGCTCCTGCCTCCAGGTTCCTGACCTGTCTTGACTTTCTTCAGTGATCAACTACAATGTGGAAGTGTAAACCAAATAAACCCTTTCCTCCCCAAGTTGTTTTTGGTCATGGTGTTTCATCACATTGATACCAACCCTAAGACAGATGCTTGTGATCTGTCTGTGCAGAGAAACGAGATGTTTCTTGTTTGCTTTGACAACAAATGTGTTGCCACATGCAGAAACTGGACAAGAATTCTTGCTGTAAGCATATTTTCTGTGTTCCCTGTAGATGTAGACACTACTGTTCTCTTTCCCTGCCTGTATCTTGATTTGTGTCTATGTCACTCAGTTTTTTCCTTTTATATTATAATCAGGTATTTTTAATACGACTTGAGCATTTTGAGAAAATTGATGAGATATGAATATAAAATATTCTTTTTATATTAATGTTTTATTCATTTTTTGAAACACTGAATTTACGTAATTCAAAAATCAGTAAATTTATAAAATAGTGTATAATGTAATTCTTCTTAGTCTCCCAGATGTACCCTGTTTTCTTTGAAACATATTATGCATAAGAATTCAATGTAGTTCTCCCATATATATGTATGTATGTGTATATATGTATATATATGTGTGTGTATTTATATATATGAAATGTGTGTGTATGAATGACCGATACATATATAATGTATATTACAAATGGAAAAATACTCTACACTTCTGTTGTGACATGGATGTCTATTGCATGGTTTCAGAGAGCAGATGAATCCCAGAATGAATTTGTATTATTTGACATAGGCATGGAAATGTCAAGCATCCCAATGGACCTAAGTGGACCAGTGGGAGTGGAAAAGCCTTCCTCTGGCCCAAATAGAAACGATGGGCAGTGTATATAGAAAATATCAACCACAGCATTCTCCTCCTGGGTGACAGCAGCCTGAGACTGCTTCCCTAAAAAGACTTCCTTCAAAGATTAGTTAAACCTGCCTCCTTGTTCATCTGCATACTAAGAACCTGTCTCCTTATTCAGCGGTGTACAATAAACTCCTTGATTCAGTTGTACAAAATAAACACAATGCGATCCCACAATGCATCTGTCCTTTCTGCATCCCCTTGTTTCCCAAGTTCCCCAGGCCGTGTAGGAAACACTAAGAAATACTCATGGCTATACCAAAATTTGTAGAGAAACA